AACTTTTGGTCTGTACCTGTATTATGTAACAGTCAAATTTCCTCGCTACGACCTCTGTGTGCTGGCTCATAAATTATCGCAAATAACTATTATTTTTGCATCATGTTTACTAGAATTTTATTGTTAAATATTATTTTATTTAAATTTTACGATTATGCAACCCGATATACACCGCGATATTATACATATATTGTCACTGATGCCGACCAGCCAGTGACTAAAGAATATAAGGACATGTAACGCCCCTATACGGGCTGCAGCAGAATTTGTGACTTTTTTTTTTGTTTTGGTGGCAAACAATGAGTCATCATTTGGTCACCAGCGACAATTTTAGCGATTTTTAATAGTTTGTGTGTAGTAAACTTTGTATAAACTTTATTATAATGGTGATTAGTTGTTCAGCTTTCAAGTGTAAAAGCAGCAGCGATAAGAAAGAGCCAGGAGTTACGTTTCATAGGTAAATAAACAGTCCACTCCAACCTTTTAGCGTTTTCTTATTGAATTCGATAATTATTCTTCAATTTCAATTAATATCTATATGTACTTGATATGTATACGTCGATACTAGTTTTGTACCTTTTGTTAACATTTTAATACGTTTTTTCGTAATTAATTAGGATGATACACCATAGGCGTAGTCAAAACAATTATCAAAAAATATAAATATTGCTTCAAACAGGTAGGTTAAGAAAAATATGTGCCACGGCACTGTTTGATGGCATACTGTTTGACCAGCGGATCTGAAGCTACGGAAGGAATGCGAGAAAAAAAAATCGATATTGCCACGTTTATCTATAAAATTGCAAAATTGCCAGACATGAACTATAAATTTAATATATTTTTATTATATATAATGTGTTTAGCATATATTCTGACGTATATGATTAAGGAATTTTAACGTAGTTCATGTTGTTCGATATGTTTTATTTAATAACTTATTTCTTTCATTCTGTATAATCTGCTTATTATGAAAGTTGAAGATTTTTTAACGATATCATTGGCAAACCGGCATCGCCGCGCATGGCCGCCTATTCATTGAACATCATTGGCCAGAGTACGTCACAGGATTTGTTACCACGCGGTGGCCATGGCTTTTACGCCTTTCCTATTCGCTTGCTTTATCCCCAACTTCACGGTCTCTTCTGAAAAGAGTAGGAATATTGAATACTATTGAAATATCCAGTGGCGGTGTATTTTTTTTGATCATTATTACTTTATTTCATTATTTTATACCGGTTATCCTAAACTTTATTCCTATATTTTCGTATATTTGATAGTTAAGTTGTGTTTTATTATTTTGTTATATTGTTATAATGTTTTCGTTCGTAGTTTTTAATTATTAATATCAAGTTTGATCGTATATTTGTGTTTTAAAATGAATAAATTTGTTAAGGGTAAGACGCTACATAGTCAGACAAGAGAAATAATAGCTAATTTATATAGGTATGTTAATAATAACGTGGATGAAATCTCATTTGGTTTATTTCCTTGTGTTCATAATAGGGTTTGCGATGAAGAAGCTACAGAGAGTTCGCTTTAGTTGCCGCTTAAACGTAAACTTGAGCGGATATTTTTATACCGGAGTTAGCGTATCGGCTATAAAAGATTCACACAGAAGATAAAAAAAGGCTGAAAACTAACCCCGATAAAATGATATCCAGCTCTGGAAAGAAACGACCACGAGACTGCTGTCGAAAACTCGACGACTTTTTCGAAGTGGTAACGAATTAGAAAGCTTTTGCAAAAATTGCAGGAAGAATCGAATTTTCCTTTTGCAGGGAAACGCTTAGGGGGTTATTAAAATCAAATGAATTTTTTGGCGTAAATGTCAAAATAACAGATAAATATTAATGGAGCGGCCCATTATATTGCAGAGAGAGATATAAATATATACGCGAAATTCGAAAATATAGCCAAGTATTATCTATTTGGATGAAACATATGGGTAGACAATGACCTAACCTTTAAAAACTGCTGGCGGAGCGATACCATATCTGGTGTAATAGGCAATATTGGATCTACTGGTGAGTAAAATTATGTTTTGTTTGCGCTTCCAAAGTTAACTATTTTCAAGATTTTTTTGCTGGAAATAGTTATATCTAAAATTATGTGTTATAAAAAAAGATATAGTTAGTACAGATATATAAATAAATATACCTCAAGACTCAGTCTTGATCATCTGCTGATGGCAGACATGGTTAGCGAAACATGCGTCCAGTGTAAAATTAAAAGTGTTTTTGGTGTATTGTACTGATTTAGTGCTTTATTTTGCTGTGTAACACCAAAGGTTCCAACCCCCAGCTGTAATTATTTCTTCTATTATATTAACAACACAATAATAACATGATTCAAAATATTTAAGAGAGCTTTAATAAAAGCTTTTAGTGTTTATCTGCTAACTCAACAGTAACGATTCAAACAGCATAAAGTTTTTTGAAAAAAAATATTAATCTGAGTATTATATTTATGATACACATTATTTTCATATAACACCGTACGCCCATGCCTATTTTATGAATGAAATTGGGCGTGTTTTGTTTACAACTGCATTCCCCTGCCGATACCCCGTAGCTACAGATCCGTTGGTCACACTATAGTCACAATTTGCTCTCGGGTGTTATTTGTCCTTGGATTCTTTAGTTTAGATTCATTGCGACCAGCAGTAGGCTTTTTGTCCATGATAGCCATAAAAAACGACTTTACGAACGAAATGCAATGTTGAAACTATATCTTTGATCATCACCTCCGTCACTTGTCACTGTCAGATCAAATCAGATGTTTTTGGATTTATTTATCCTTTGTTTTGGTTATTGAAATTTTATAATTATCAGATAAAATTTCGTAGTTAAAGTGGTTATTTTTGATGTGGATCGCAGTGTGCAATTCGTTCTTTTAATTGTGGAATTTCTGAGTTTAGTTCGTTCATTGACCGGATATGGAATATGGCTGAGGAGAAAACATCATTTTTTTATTTATGCCTTTTTGTGAGTTGGGCTAGTCAAGATATATAGTTCTCTATCTATATCCTGGAGGGAGATTTCCGGTTGAAATCTGATTTTGTGAAGGAAATCGAATCCTTGCATCACTTCTTGTGTACCCAACGTCCGAATGTCGTCGTGAACAACTGGCTGCCGTTTCGTGAAGCATTCCCTGTTGGTGAATAGCAGGTCTTCGTAAAGAAGGATTAAGGCTTCCGAAACACCTTTGGTCAGAAACGTGGTTGGATTTTGTTGATTTGTATGGACCGCCGACCAATTTCCGCAATGGGATTAAAATAGCCAAATTCTCCGACCGATATTCCGATTCCACGTGCCCAAGAAGTCCCCGAATAGTTCCAAGATATGCTATAATTCTTCTGCTATATATGCTTCCATTCTAAGTCAATGCTCAACTGATTTTTATTCGTATTGTTGACTGGTTTTCGACTTTTCCACGCCCACGTGGTGTAGAAAGATTAGTTGAGTATTATCTTTCTTAAGTCTTATTTGGTTGTTCGTAATTGTAGAGCAAGAAGACCGATCCAGACCGTAGTGCACAGAACAGTCCAGAATTCCATCCTGTTGCCCGTGCAGAGGTACCCGCTGGACATCTTAAACCCTCGTTGAGGTAAAGTTCAGATTTGATTAGTCCTTCTTTACTACTTTTATTAACTCCTACACGTTGTGCTAGTCCTTGTTCTATAACTGAGGCTCTTTTCTAAGACAACCAATGTTATTTAAGGTTTTTTATGTTCACCTTTTGAAGTCCTACACCTGGCCGGCATCCGTACGTCTGCTGACATCCGTGGGCTCCAGTGACAGTACACCGAGCTGCTGTGCACCGCCGTAGCCACCCTGTAGCTATACACCGTAGCTCAGCTGGAGGAAGTTTTCAAGTACAATCGAATAGAGTAAGACTGTACAATTTTAGTTTAGATTTAGTTTGATATTTGTAATCCACCCAGGATATTGTACTTTATTTAAGTAAGGGGGATTATGACGTCATACTTTTAGTTAGTTTTCTTGATTTAAATTTTATTCTACTTTTCAACGTTTATTCATTACCATTTCTTTAAATATTAACTTTTAATATTTTAATAAATTGCTTAAACATTTTTAGTAGTATTATTTGCAGTCTACTCTCATAGTAACTTAGAGTCACTTAAGTTTAACGAGTTATAGCATATTTGAAGTTCATGGTAGTTACACTCAACAGTTCGAGGTTAGTGTTGAAGTCTACTTAATAGTAACACCTTTTATGCCGAGTTCATAGAGTATAATCTCGTGGCGCCCTTTTAATAATATCTTTGAACCCCGACCACCCGGCTGTTAAAATTAAAAAGCTAGTGGCCTCTATGCAACTCATCCTAATTAAGTAAACTTGTGTTTTATTGAACTTCAAATTAGAAAGGGCGTGGCAATTACACTATTGAGAGAAAAAAAATCGTTATTTTCTATGTCAAACAGTTCTTCTGATAAAAATCCAGCGAGTAACCATTCCAAAGATATTTGTAATTTAAATATCCAATAATATACATCATCATTGACCAAAAATTAAGCATGTTGACTAGATAAGACTGAAATAATAAATTTGGAAATGTTTTTGTGTCAAAGGTTCAATTGTTCTTTTCTAGAAAAATTTTGAATAATTTAAAAATGTGAAAATTTCCTAAATTTATAATTTCAGTCATATAAATATTTAATCAACATATTTATTATGCGCTCCCTACAAGTAGAAGTCATATTGACATCAAAATCGAATTTTTCATGCTAAAATCAGACACCAATTTTCATCCAAATATCGAGGTTAGTTCAGAAACTATTACAAAAAATCGAAATAAAAATGAAACTTCTACACCCTGTATCTCCAAAATGAAGTATTTTGTGGCAAAATTTATATGAACTTTTTTACTTATTTTTATCTGCAGAATATGCTGTCGCAATTCCCGATTACCGTTAGGACCACCCTGTAGTATATTTCGGTAAAGACGAAATAAATTTAAGAAATATTAAGTTACTTACCTTATAAAAATAGAATGAGTTTAAATCTGATGAGCTGGCCATTGAAAAGTTTTTATAAACTACCGTTGAATTTCCTGATGTATTATTGAGCACGTCCACATAAGGATAAACTTCATCTATGGCGGATTTATTTTCAACACTCATAATGAAAGAGTTTGTTGTTAGATGTGCCATTACTCTTCGAAAACTGTAAATAAAACCATCTTTTAGTCAATGCTATAAAAACATAATTGATGTAGTTTCAATTTTCAAACCGCAAAATATAATTATTTTCCGACTTCTATCAAAGAGAAAAATATTTTAAGTTTTAGATAACTCTGGGACATGGTTACAATAATTTTATTATAGATCTATCTTGTAACGTTTTTAGTTCGTTACATGTCTTTTTTATATATAATATATGATGTCTATATATAATATATGATGTCTGATGATGATCACCGGATTCCCTCTCGTTCAGGCCGGATAGTTTATTTGACGCGTAATTTTTACGTTCCCTAGTCGCCAACCCTGTTATCGTTCGACACAATCCTGTTATCGCTCTGAGGAGGCGCTGTCAACATCGCTTCTGTCAACTCTCTCCGTGCTTAACCTCACTTTGTTTTGACGCTCTGTTGTATCCCAGCTTTTAGAAATGGTGATTATTTAAGTTTTGCTGTATAATTTGAATCAGCTGCTATTTCGAGGCTACAGGTAAAGATGAGTTATTACCTTTTATAGATTCGATATTATTATCGAATATTTTTAGGGTAGAGTTACGGATGTCCCAACTTATAGACCAGCGTTGTATATGATTACATAACATTTAAGTGGCTTTAATAAAATTAGTTTTAAAATATCATTTTATGTTTTGAAAAAATAAATAAATAAGTAATTAGGGTAACTACATTATGAAAACTACGAATACCCAATTTTTATGTTGCAGGGACCCTAATATATAATGGCAAACGGCTGAGTGACATCCATAATATCAAGGTAACAAACTTGTAATTAATATGGGGTGTTCTAATTACTTAAAATACATATTACACGTCCTACTTTTCTATGAGCAGGACTGTACCTAATAAAGATCTACTGACGCAAAATCATAAAAATTAAAATATCTAAGAAAATCTTTGTCTGAGGGGAAGGCAACCTTAATAATATTTTGAAGATATATGAATTCCCCATTGAACACCGGAATCATATATTGGGTATTCCTTTTAAAATAAACAAGTAACTTGCTTTTATATGTGACCAATGTTCCATATTCATTTTGTCTCACCCTGTATAACTTTTCGGATCAAATTTTAATTTGGTTTAACATACAATGGTTACTGTAATTAAATATCAGGCTATACAAGGTCAACTAAAATTTAGGTAGCTGTTAACGAAATTTAAAATTTAATTTTCACAAAATGTGAAATATGTCAAAATCCTTAGATTTTAGGTATATGCTTCTTTAATAAAACTCACCTTTATTTTTTTCCTAGAATCCGAAAATCAATTAATATATAGGGTGTTCCCTCGGGTGTTCCATTAGAAAAAAAACAAAACTTTGATGTGTAACTTTTTTTGGGGACATCCTGTATAATTCTCTATATTTTTACAAAATGCTTTCAGTTAACCTACATATGCTGCCAAAATTTCATTTCGATATAAACTACCGTTCTCCTTGGAGCTTCCGCGGCGTATGAGAGGCGCCACCCCGTATTAGACTTTTTCGAAGATGCGTTAAAGTTGTACTTAACAGGCATCTAAAAGTTATTTGTAAAAATCTACCTTCAAATTACTCAAAACATAATACCGCCCAGAGAAAGCTACAATTACAATACCAGCAAAAATACGATTTTGTCATTGTCAAATTCGATGTCACATTTTTTTGTTTACAAGAATTTATGTAGTTTGGAAAAGACGGTTATTTTTTCTGAATTGGAATGATCATCTACAAAAGTATGAATTGAGAATAGTATTCGCGGAGTATGACTTGATTGCTGTTAATTACTCGATCGCTTGCAGGTCTCGCTCATACTACATACACCCAAAATAATTTATCAAATAAAAGTAATATTTGTAACTAAACGAACTTTATTAAAATATACTAATTTAAACATGTTTACATAATCCCCCATTCAGAGCCAAACAACACCCCAAAGATTATCAAATTTACGCCTCACAATACAAAGCTGTTAAGGGAAGAATCTTTAGCATTCCACAGAGATGTCGTTTTCAGTACAGGGTGAGTCAACGATAGAGTAAAGTCCATTATCTCATTTGTTTCGAGGTTTACAAAAAAAATTAAATATAAAAGTTGTAGGGAAGGTTAAGATACACATTTTAAAGTTATTATAGAGTATACAAGGTGCTTCAAAAAAGTGTGGCGGATATAACATATGTTTTTTAAATGCAACACCCTATTTTTTATTTTATTTTTAGATTCTGCGTAAAATTCCATAACTTTTTTATATATAATGTTATATACGTAAAATTAATAGTTTTTGTAATATTTCAATTTGCTTAAACAAATGTTAAATTGCAGTGTGGTAAAAAATTGTCAGTGGTGCCATTGTTTCTGAAGTTGGAGTACCAAAATTTGGTACGAGAGTTTTATAGAGATAAAAAAAATATATATAAAGATATTTTAGTTAAATGATACAGAGTGTTCAATATATATTTATGAATTAAAAAACTACTTAAAATTAAAAAATCTCATTTTTTTAAATGGGACACCCTATATATTAAGTATGTCATATACCTATTTTTAATAGTTTGCGATTTACTATTTTACCCATATTTTTAATACACTTACCCTATAAAATCATACTTGCCATGACAAAACAATTTATTACTTATCTTTAACAAGTAGCTTAATAATTAGTTACAATTGCTGGTATTAGTTAAAGTTAATTAACTTTACTCAAATAAACTAAAACCGCAGTCGTGAATTTCTTGGTGTATTTCCATATTATGAAAGAGGACACTTGGATTTCCCGTCGCGCGTCGGGGCGAATAGCTACAGATTAAGGTAATCCTAGATTATCTAATTGTTGAAGACTACTAATATAGGAATTTTTTTCGACATACAGTAAAGTTTTTTTCTCGTAGTAATTCTAGTTTATAATTCATTTGGTAAAGCCAATATTACTACTGCCGTGAAACCGTCCCATTACACACTGAAGTTATTTTCTAGATAATCTACATCTATTCTTATACTACTTAGCAAAGCCCTATATAATATATAGTCTCTTAGTACTGGACCAAAAAATATGTTTTTCTTGGCTTGTTCGTGTATATCAGTCACATTGACTAATTCATTTCAGGATAATCTGTAACTATATATCTCTATAATTTATACTTATTACAACATATTAAACTAAAATTCAAATTTTGTTCTTAACTTGCTTAACAGACAACAAATTTTGATAATTATTATTTTTTGTCATAGTAACTATGATGTTATAGCGTAATTGTAATAAAAATATGGGCAAAAATAGAAAAAAATTGGAATAAATCGCAAACTATTAAAAATAGGTATATGACATAGTTAACAAAAGTTGAAGAGTTTTGCAAAATCTATCAGAAAAAATGATAATATATAGGGTGTACCATTTAAAAAATTTGAAATTTCTCAATTTTAAGTAGTCGAAATTCATAAATATATTTTGAACACCCTGTAGCATCTAACTAAAATATCTTTACATAGGTCTTTTTCTATATCGCTATTAAATTCTCCTACCAAATTTTGGTTCTCCAACTTCAGAAACAATGCCATTACTGACAATTTTTTATCACACTGCAATCTAACATTTGTTTAAACAAATTTAAATATTACAGAAACTATTAATTTTAGGTATATAACATTATATACAAAAAAGTTATGGAATTTTACGCAGAATCTAAAAATAAAATACATAAATAGGGTATTCCATTTAAAAAAACATATGTTATATTCGTCACACTTTTTTGAAGCACCCTGTATACTCTATAATAATTTTAAAATGTGTATCCTAACCGTCCCTATAACTTTTATATTTAAAATTTTTTTGTAAACCTCGAAACAAAGGAGATAATGGACTTTGCTCTATCGTTGACTCACCGTGTACATCTAAATTTACGTATTTAATATGCCCATAAAGACGGTTTTTGAGTGTTCTCCACAGGAAGAAGTCGTTCGGCGAAAGATCCTGTGGTCTTTTCCTACTGTAACCCCAACAGACGGGAGTCAATGTTTTTCTTTTCTTCAACATCAAGAATGTTCGTTATTGTTGTTTTCTTCCTTCAATTAATTTGTCTTCATACTTCCATGTGCTTAATACCGTGCCTTTAGTTTCAAACCTCTGCCTAGTTTATTCTTTAAACTATTGACTTATTCGGTATAGGCTTTCCGGAGACTGAGATGCGAACAAATCTAACACAGCGGGAATTCTATTTCCAACAAAATACCGTTTAACCATCGTAACTTTTTAAGAAGTTGCGGAAATTTTAATTATTTTATACAAAATTACTCTATATGGTATTTTCAAATTTTTGTAAACAAGATGTCACAATGTCACAGTGACCTCGAATTTGACAATGCCATAATCACATTTTTGCTGGTATTTTGTAGCATTCTCCGGGCCATATATTATAAATTTTAGTAATTTGATGATAGATTTTTGCAAATATCATTTAAATGACAAATAAAACGAAATTCTAGACGGAATTACAACTTTAACGCCTCTTCAAAAAAGTCTAATACAACTTTTGCATAAAATCATCTGGGGAGATAATATTTTACTTTTTCCAAATTTACATGGAATTTCCTATGTCCCAATGTGTTCCAATGCACCACACGAGTATGTTGAATATGCATGCCAAATTTGAAAAATTTTGGGAAAGCTATTTTTAACTAATTTAATGGTACTATTGTATTTATTCTTGGTTTCTTCTTCACTGTACTTCTGCACTATGCACGACAATAATGAAAACCAGTGGCGCAACTAGACACATACTTTTAGGGAGGCTCTTTTTGGAGTTTTTTTTTTTGGGGGGGGGGGGGTTAAGTCACTCTAGGATAATATTGATTTGAGGTTAAACCCAATTTTATACAACACGCAGCAGTCGTCTGGGTAGGGGGACTAAGCCCCCTTGCCGCCACTGATGAAAACCCAACTTATTGTCGAAATAGGTCGTTATTTTTGAACTGAATTGACAACTGAACAGAAACTGAATGGAAGCCAAGGCGGGTTCTGACTTGTCAGTCTCGCCGACGCAGTCTGACTGATTCATTATCAATGAAAAATAAAAATCAACGATTGTATTCACACGTTTCATATTTTGCTACATTCAGTATTCAGTTGGTCCAAACATTTTAACGTGGTGATTTCGTAGACATGAAAATGGTTAAAACAAAATTGAAACCAGGTGTTCGCGAAGTTTGTTTACAATTAGCAAATGAATTAACAGAATATTCTGGTGAATCAGAAAAGAAGAAAACGTTTTTTTTTAAAGCAGATACGTCTACAAGAAACCGTTGACGTTCTATTTTAACAGAACGTCAACGGTTTCTTGTAGACGTATCTGCTTAAAAGAAAAACTAAAGTGTTCTCATAATAGTTTGAATTTAAATATTGCAAATAGTTTTTTTTCTTTATTCTTTGAATTTTTTTTCTGCTTCCGACGATAGACTTTCCGAAACGTTAAGCATTTTTTCTTTGTTAGGCAAATTGGTATAACTGTAAACATAACTTCTGACAAGCAGTGTCCGTTTAGGTTTAACGCAGAAGTGTTTACAAAAAATAAGTATTTTATTTTGTAGCTTTTCTTGCAGTGCAGTGGCGAAATACCCATAAAGGATTTTTTTGGAGATTAATTAACTTTAACTTGTAAACTGAACAAATTACGAAAATGTAGTTCTCACGCTTCAGTTTCTATTCACTATTCGATAAGATCAGTCAAAAATGAAAAAAAGTAGAACTGGTTTTCACTTTAACTGAAAGTACGAATTTACCGATCATTTAACATGAAAATGTGTTCTGACGTTCATTATTAATTTGTTCAGTATCACTGAGTCAGTCAGACTGCGTCAGCGAAACTGACAAGTGAGAACCCGCCTTGAACTGACCGTCTAAAAGTACCTTAAGAAAAACCTCATATATTTTTAAATTAAAACTGAACAGGTAACAATGCAAAACCAGACAAATGTCAACATACCTTAAATCGTGAACCTATGACTTTTTCAATTTGTTGTGCTGTTTACGCATCTACGCACGTTGGAATTACCTATTTATAGTTTATATATAGTTTATGCGGCAGACCCTCAAAATAGGGTAAAACGTAGCAAATTCGGTTAAAAGCATGAAACTCGCCAGAGTTGTTATTTAGATCATTTTAAATGATTTGAGCCGCAGCACCCCAAATTTCAACACTTATGATGATGGTTTTACACACTTTTACAAAAAAGGGTTAAAAATATTCAAAATTTGAATGCCAACGCCAATCGTATAATATTATATTTTTTTTAAAAATATATCACTTTTTATAAAATTTAACTAAAAACTAATAACTCAATTATTAATTATTGTTAATATTATTATTGTTATCAATAAACCAAGTTAAACTGATATAGGGTATCATCCCTACCCAAGAAATAAACGCAATATCGCAATTTTTATACTTTTAATAAATTTTAACCTGCTTTAAGTGACGCCACTGACTGTGTATAGTGGAATAAACAATAGAAGCAATATAAATTAATATATTATAATAATTTATGTTGAGCAACGAACAAAATATTTATCATTAAACCGTTTGCCGCTGAGTAGATTTTTTATTACAATAGGTACCTATACTAATTGCATGGCTTCGGTTTTATTTTTTTGTTTTTTAATGTAATATTTGCTTCTTTGTAGCATGAAAAAAAAATGAAAAAATATAAAAATAAAATAACGGTGGCAGTACCGCATCCCCTAGATAGCTTAATAGATTGGAAAAAATGTTGTATCTGTCAAGTTGATGGTGGAAAAACTGTTTGTCCTGCAAATACTAAAGTTGTTTCGCTTCGAAATAAAGGATATGGTACTTCAGCTTCTAATTTACTACTTTTAACTAATTACAATCACGTACTCCCATCTGGAATGCAAATTAATTGTCTTAAAGGGGAAGGAGAAATTGAGCAAACATTAATCGAAAAAAAAGCACTGTGGCCATAGAACATAACTATGGCCAGAAAACACTTGTTTGCAACTGAAAATAGACCATTTACGGCTATACCACCAACTCGAGCTGCTCTACATGAACACACATTAAGGGCAGCATACCAGGAGGGTCATATTTGGGGTAGAGCTGACCAAATATATCAAGATGGTCTACCTGCTCCAATTAGCTGGGGATGGATGGAGGTTGAGGGAGAATGGATACCACTGTGGTCGAAAAAAGCCCAAGTTTGGGAGTCGTACAGGTCACTTGATACGTGTTCCTGCAAAAAACATGATTTACCTTGTACAATCGCCTGCAAGAACTGCAAAGGAGAATGCAGTAATAGGAGGTAAACAATTCTGAAGAAAGTAAAAGTTATAATAAAACTATTTTTGTTGCAGCTCGAGATTTCAATGAATTTTAAATACCTAAGTAGCCAGGTTATACTTGTTTTTTATTGTTATTACGTATAAATAAACTAATTAAGATTAAATATAAACTTTTTTTTATTACACAAAACGTTAGTCCCAGTTTCTAGAAGTGTAGTATTGCCCAAATTGGTACAAAGAATCCTTGACGGCGCATCCAAGCGGGGGGGATAACATTCCTTCTCCCCCATGGGTGCGCCCATGGTCTTGTCACAAATTTAATTGCATTTTTCGTACCAAAACTTACAAAAATATCCAGCATTTTGGTCAGGATACGGTAAATATGTTAGAGAATGCAATTTTGACACTTAAATCAAATATCACAGCCGTAGAGCCCAAACCCTAGGTTATACAAAATTGGCGTATTTTTTTAAAATCTTCATGTTCGAATTAGTCAAAAAAGACACTAAAATTAAAAAAAAAATATTGAAATAAATTTCTGAGAAATTTTAACCCCTTAAAAAATAAATAAGGGTTGCAAACCTACCCCAACGGATGAAATTTTAGGTGCTGCGGGTAAAATAGCTTAAAATGACCTATTAAACAACTATGCCAAGTTTCACGCTTTTAACCCAATTTGCTAGGTTTTTTTTTATGGGCCGCATGTACTATTACCTATGCAGTAACTGGGCTGGCAATGAATTTCTGCAATTTAAAACTTGTTCAAAACAGCCAAAAGTATAACGTGTAAGACCCTCTATATTTTACCTCATAATATTCTAGATATATTTTAAACGCCGTAACAAAATCACGCCAATTTTGTCAAGCGAGGCTTCAAAGCTTATCGCTCCAGATTGTTTAGACTACGTAAGGGCAAGCGGCGATAATATAAACAGAACGCTGGTCACGGCACTTAAAAAATATATCTTAAGGCTCATAGTTTTTTATGAAAGACGAGAGGTTCAGTTTAATATTTGGGTTGGCATTTAGTTGCTTTTGAATCTTTTAAAGAAGTGGAGTGTCGCTAAACGTTAATTTAAATACGAGCTAAATAATTAATTTAAATAGTTATAACATTGTGACAGTGTTGTGGCAGTGTTAAAGCTACTTTATAGGGTGAGTTGATTCACTGAGTATGCATTCTCTACATGTTATGTTTTAATTTATAATTGATTTATTTAAGAGTTTATGAGTTTAAAGAGTTATCTTTTCTATAATAATTTGTTGAGTAGTGTCTGTAACTGAAACAAACCCTTGCGTTTGGTGTCATTGCACGTCTCAGTACAGGGTAAATATATTATTTAAAGAGCTAGTGGCAAGGGTTCACTAGGCTGGTGGCAAGGGCTCACCAGTGGTTTAAAGAGCTAGTGGCAAGGGTTCACTAGGCTGGTGGCAAAGGTTCACCAGTTGTTTAGAGAGCTAGTGGCAAGGGTTCACTCGGCTGGTGGCAAGGGTTCACCAGTTGTTTAGAGAGGGCATTTCGCGTTTAGTGCCGTAATATGTTTTGGACATTTGTGCAAGGGTGTTTGTGTTTAATACCCGTTGTAACATTTGAACTGTGATATTTTACCTTAATAATAAATATCAGGAATTTTGTAGGACCGGCATACTCACAAAGATTTTTCTTTTCAGGCAACTCTATGTCATGAACCATCCTGTACAAGAACCTGCCTTACACATAGCCGTTCGAATTAAAGTTTGGTTTCTTTTAAGTTTTTGTTTATTTACCAATGAATATTTTATATTTTTTTTACATTTATTAAATACGATTAAAATTTAATATGCTCAGGCTTTTTGGTACCATAAACGTTTAGGAAATAAAATTTGACAATGACAAAATCATAGGTTGGCAAATTAAGGTATGTTGGCATTTGCCTGGTTTTGCATTGTTACCTTCTTCAGTTTTAATTTAAAAATAGATGCAGATTTTCTTATATTATAGAGCTATTATATCCTGACATTCTGTTATGTTTTATTTAGGCAATATTTTATTGAGTGGGGAAAGGTAGTAATGATATTGCTTTGTAGTTTTTATCTCTCTAGCTCTGTTTATTTTCTTTTATATACTGGTATAATAATGACTATATTTCGCTCTCTACTATAGCATTAATATTAATTCATTTGTCCCTTAACGTATCATATTTTCCTTATACTTAATGATATAGTTATTTTTACTCTGCCACGTGTAGCTTTATTTATTTTCTCGATTTTGTTGATAATCTGACGTTTTTTTACTGTCGTTTAACGTATTACAAATGAAGATGAATTGAACTGATATACAGTATGTACCCAGATTGTCTTTACAAGAGGAAAAACTTTTTTATTATTGACATTTTGAGAAAAATGCATTCTTCATAAAAAATGTTGCTTGTTCTGAAATGGTTAATTCCGTTTATACTTTTCCAAATTTCCATACCGTTTTTTTATACCGAAAATATAAAAAAAAACATGAAAAAACAGTATCCTATTATATTTTGCTGTTTTAAAATATTAAAGAAATACAAAATTTATTTAGTTCATTTCTACGGAAAGGGTGATAATAGTTATCGGAAAATGTGATATTTTAACAACAGTAAAAAATATGACGTTAATGGAAATTACGAATAACCATCTATTAAAGAATGAAATCTAAATGATATTGCCACATTAACATAGAAACGACTTTTGATTTTTAGGACTATGTTAGAAAAATTCAACTATATTTTCATGTTTTTTTTTAATTTTCTCTAAAACGGTATGTGAATTTGGAAAAGTATAAACTGGATTAACCATTTTAGAACAAGCAAAATTTTTTATGAAGAATGTATTTTTCTCAAAATGTCAATAATAAAAAAGTTTTTCCTCTTGTCTTGTAACGACAATCCGGCGACACTGTATTTATCTCTAAAAGTTTGTCGTTTGAGACGATGAGGTGTATTCTCCCAAATTAGTTAAAATAATAATAATTAGTCTCATTTCTCAAAAGAAAAAATAACTTATTAACACATTTCAAGAGAGAGCTTCATTTTAATAGAAAAGACGTCCTTTAGTTATATAATAAAAAATCTTAGGATAAATTATCCCAATCCGCCAGGATTCCTTTGCCTTGTTAACCTATAATGTCTGTTATAAATTGAACACTAATGGGTATAAAAAACGCCAGGCATCCACTCAATCCTTGTACACCACTTCAACCGACATACAAAATATATCTGAAAGTATTTTTATTACTTTGAAGTACACAAAGTTAATATTGTAATTATTTTCTATATATAGTAATTCCAGTGTGGATTTATCTACGTTATAAAGTAATTTTGTATGAATACAGCTGGTATTTAATTTGTTTATACATATACAAATAAAAATAAATATTTTTTTATATTAACGCGTCCTTATAATTTATAGTATAAACTTGTAATTATTTGATGATAAAACAGATTGTACACATTCACATACCTACTAGATAAAGTAAATATTTAAGATCCGCTAATATTCTCCTACACACAATAATTCCAACATCCTATCGGCAACACTGTATTACCCTGCTCTCTGCTAAGTTAATCTATTTTCAAAATTTAAATAAAAAACATATTTATCCAGCTGTAATATGTTTAAGTTACTTAACTGACATAAGCTATTTGAAATAGAGTAAATTGGAATTTATGTACCCTATGAAAGAAAAAAAAACGATGTCAGAGTTAGCTTTGAAATGACGACAGATGACATTTACCATGTAATTTTCCATATGTATAAAAGGTTATAATATAGTTCATATCAAATAAACTTTTAGTCGCGTGATTAACCTTGACCGGCAGCGTTACCCACTTTTACATATTTACTTTTAATCAAAATATTTTAGGAAACAAAAATAAATAAATTATAAATATACCAGGTGCGTCTCAAAAGTGGCTCACCCCTATAACTTTTTTATTTTATGAGATAATAAAACGAGATTTGGTATGTTAGTATATGACATAAATTAGGATTGATTGACTTACTAAATTGTTTTTGATCACTACCTGTTTCACCGGAAATGATCAACTTTTGATTTTTAAATGACACCCTCGGTATTTTTTTAATTTATCTGATGGAATAAGACACTCTGAATAGAATGAGATATTATCATATGTCAACTTTGGACATTTTCGCATATGGTTTATGTCACATTGTAACATGCGGTTCATAACGACAATTTAAATCGAAATAGCAAGTGTGTGGTACCAAATTATTCGTAAAAAATGCTTTTTCCAAAAATATGCTAATGAGCCACCCTTATTCCATTTGAAAAAATTGAGATGTAATTAAAAATACGATATGGGCATCTTTTAACCGGCCAGGATAAGACACGAAAAACATTAGACAGTCAAACATATTTTTCCAAGACCCCTTGATTAAAAATTAGTGTTATTAACACAGCCATGGCACTCTAGATTGACAACAATGAATTTAAAAATCGCATCCTCAATTACGTAACTATTAGTTTAATTGGTGGTATCGATGGTATCGATTATAGATGTTCATTTCCAGGCCATTCCTGGCACCCCTTTTCTCAACTTTTAAATGAATATTATAATTGATGCTATAACTTCTAAACAAGCACCTACTGCATTTTTCAATGTATTGAAAAGAACATAATATAAATAATATATTGAAAAGTATATAATAATAAATAAGGAATATATCTGTTAAAGATATATCTTTATTCAAAATATATTTTATAGATGTTAATAATGTTGCGCTAATAAAACAGTAACAAATTGTAGACAATAGGCGTTATCACAGAACAACGCACCTAACTTCCAGCGAATATTTTCGCTGATTTTGCCTTATGACACAATATTGATGGAGACATCATGACAGCACTTCTCCTTATGTGCTCAATTTTCAAATATAAAAAGTATAATTTTTATTCTTATTTTAGAGCGAATTTTCTTTCTACGGTATTCAATCATCTACTTCTTTACCTGCTTTCTTAAAAAAATGAGAAAATTACTTATATGAAAAGAAAAGCTTCTTTGAGAAAAATCGATTTTGTATTAGACCACAAAATCACATTCGCAACAAAATCACAAATCGCGACCATATTAATAAAGGTTGTCTAAAAATTCAAACTCGCAGATAGATATGCAGCAAAATCTCAAATCGCAGCTAGAGTAATATTGGTTGCTTAAAAATTCAAACTTGCAGATAGAAGAAATCGCAGTTTATTATAAAACGAATCGCAGGTTGCGATTGCGAAACTCGAATTGTAAAATGAAAAAAAAAATGATAATATACCAGATGTGTTAAAAAGCGCAGTCAAAACGGATTTATTATCTATATTAAATTGAATTATTCTCTTATCTTCTTACAGTGCCATACTTGTGATGTGTGTCATAAGTGTTTTACAAGTACACGGGACCTACAGTTTATCGCCGAATCCGAACGGCACTATTTGAGAGTCTGTACAAGGCAAATATACTCAAGGTGGTTTGTCATTGCTCTCCTTGAAGTGGCGGCTTGCTGGTCGCTCTATTTAGATAAATCAATATTTTTATTGAAATAAATAAAGCGACCGTACTGAGTGAGGATCGAAACCAGTACCATCCCATCTCTCGCACCGCATCTCGACACAACTGCTTGCGCTACGGCCGGCCACATAAATTGAATTAAATATTCTTAATAATCTAAAGATTATATAAAACAATAATAAAGGCAATGAATAAAAATTTAGTAATAAAAACTGTTAAGATTAATTTGCTAAAAACTAAACTCTTTGAACTGCTTCGAACTGAAAGCCGTTGTATCAATTGGCCACTCACTAATACAATTGATAAAATTCGCTACTTCAATCATGTTAGCTCGCTTCGTACGTACATATAACAGTAGATATATTGAGAGGTATAAATTACACTTATTATGGGATCTAAAAAGAATCGAAATATATTCTTTATATTTCCTTTCAATTTGATATAGTAGGTTTTTACTATATTAGATCTCAGCATGTCTTCTGATGAAGAATTAAGGCAGTAGCTTTCGTATTGTTTTTTTTTATTTATAGTAAGTACGAATGATGATAATAGGATACATAATTTAATCATTTTAATAAAAAAAATTGGCGCCGGGAGGCACGTATATAGCCGCCCATACTAAAATATGTTAGTAAAGAGTTGGTAGGCAGTTCTTGTAGTTTTAAAGTAAAGGGATTTTTCCAATTTTTTTTATCTCAAAAACTGCGAGTTTGGTTGATTTTGATGTTATTACAAATTTTGTTGCAAATATTATTACTAATCTTAAATTGAAAACGGCGTTTCGCTAGCTACTGTAATTTTGGAGTACTGTGATTTTTTAAAATTTTTAACCCCCTTCCATACCCCCTTACCAACCCCTCACCCCCACCAAAATTAATAGCCAGATTCTCGGGTGCCACAGTATTTTTGTGCCAAATTTGGTTAAAATCGGTTTAGCGGTTTTTGAGTTATCGTGTTGCAGACGGACAGACGGACAGAACGACAGATGGACAGACAGACAGACACCATGGAAATATTTTATGGTCATTTATGATCCTATTTTGTCCTCTAACTCATTTTGTGTGAAATTAAAAAAAAACTTTTTTTTGCCGATCTTAATAGCCTACTATATCTGTGGGTATGGTCCAGATATATATTACTATTAATAAATCCAAAAATATCCAATTATAAAGAAGTAAAAAAATACCAAGGGTGTTAAAAATCAAAAGTTGTAGTCATTTCCGGTGAAACAAGAAGTGACTGAAAAGAATTGAATACGCCAATGAATCCTAATTTATGTCATATATTAACATACCAAATCTCGTTT